CTCCCTTCCCATCATGCCTCAGTTGAGTAACAAACAATAGTGGATAATAAGAATAAGGGGAGAACCCTGTGTGTACCTGTTAATGAGAACCTGTTAAATGTACACCACTAAGTCAAAAATCATATGTTTTTTAATCGTACATTAAGGAACACAGCATAGTAAGCCAGATGCACAGGGACATCTTACAGCAGTCACACTGAGGGATAGGCAACACCGCAAACAAAATACCAACAGGCTCACGTTAAAGAATAAAAAAAAAAAGGGAAGGAGCTGACAAAGCCAGCTGAGGGACCTTACTTACCCAATGAGAACAGGACACCAGGTAGCACCCTTGCAATCTGAGAAGCAGATACCCAATTCTGGAAAGCCCATAAAGTACTAACTGATCCAGAGGATGTGCTTTGAAAAGGAAGGTGGGACCTTGTCAAAGTGTATTTTCACTTTTACAGTCAAATTTGAGAAAACCCTACTAAAAATTAAACATATTTCTTTATAGACTTGTTTTAGTGAATTATATTTTTTGCAGATTCAAGGCTACTCTAAAACAGTCTAAAAGTGAAAGTAGAACACATTGAGGGACAGAATGAGCTTCCTCCCATTAACATACAATGCTTCTAAGTCTTTAACCCTTTGTCAGGACAGATCGTGTTCAAATCTAATTACCAACTGATGGTGAAATCTGTCAGAACAGTACAGACAGGGTTAATTAGAGTAAACATAGCTTCCCACAGCCCCCTTTATATAGGGGGGAAGCTAGGTAGGAATTTTAAGCAAGCAAAAATGACCTAAAATGTAAAAAACGATTGTAAATATACCTTACAAAAAAAAATTATGCAGGGCGTATAGGACCATGTAAAAAATTTAAAGTAGGTGTTTTCCCCAATTTGGCCGTAAAATTAGAAATACACTTTTAAGTGTATAGGCTTGAATGATGAGATGTCAAATTCCCTGGTGATAGTAGAATGAGAAACAGGTTGTCATATACTGGGACCCCCAGGAATGACAAAAAGTCAGTCATTTAAAAGAAGCTGTAGCTGACAGATAAACTCGAACAGTACATAGCAGATCCAGACAGTGGTAAGAAACTCTTTGGAATATGGCGGAGCTGGACATCGCGATGGGAGAACAACGTCCCTGTTAACATGGATTTGAGAAACCACCTTGGGAACTAAAGATGCCTTAACCCTCAGGACAAAAACTAATTTCTGTGAAGTACAAAAAGGGTTCTTTACAGGTTAAGACCGCCAACTTAGAAAATCTCCTTGCAGAGGTGAAAGCAACAAGAAAGGAAATCTCATCAGTGAGAGTAAACGGATATAGCTGGACAATTGACAGAATGAAAGACTTTGCAAGAAATCAACTTCCTAGCTTTCAAGAGTGTACAGATAACCAACTCACGTAGGCCCTTAACTTTCAAGAAATTAGATTCACCAGCCCAGCCATTAAAGCCAGCATCCAAAAAGTAGGATGGTAAATCAGTCCTCAGGACAGAAAATATGGACTATTTGGGAGAGCCCACGGAAAGTCAGCTAGGCATGCGACAGGATCTGATTGCACCGAACTGGCCCAGGTGGGCGTTGTAATCAGAATCACTAAAATGCCCTCCATCTTGAACATGCGGAGGAGGGGAGGAAGGAGTGTGGAAAAGGCGCAGATTAGGTTGTAGAGATTCCACTGTAAAAGCTAGAGGACCGTTGGACCTGGAGACAAACTTAGTCAGTTTGTTGTGGAAACTGGAAGCCAAGACATCCCTCAAAAGATCTGGAAACACCATGGGGTGAAAAAAAGACCATTCTCCCGAGTCCAGACAGTGATGACTGAGGAAGTCCACCTGTCGATTTTTCTCTCCTGGGATGTGCCTGGTGGACAGCAATGTCACAACATGATATTGTGCCCAAGCAAGAACCAGATCGGCTTCTCTTTGAGCTGCAAGGATTGTGGCTAGCTGTGAATTCTTCCCTGGAGACTACAGAGGAGGCCACACCTAGAAGGGTTAAAAGAAGAGCTCTGGGGAGGTATTGCGACTGAGACTGTCTAGCTCTTTAGAAGGTACACAACAAAATACCCCAGAATGGTTAAATATCGTAAGCTGGCAAGGCCCGCAGGACAGATGCCTTTGCACCTATAATCCTGCATACTGCTAGTAGGGGACTAAACTAAACTAATGCTCACAGATAACCAGCTGCAGGAGTCACAACCATGAACTCTGACATGTTTGTGACCATGCAGTGTGACTCAGTGGTTTTAATCTTCAGCTCTATAGTCAAATCACAAGAGATCAAATAGTCTCTTGCAGTACAGTAGAGGCTGTTGATGTGCCAGCCCTAGTAAAGTGCCATGACTATAATGTCAAAGCACCAGCGCTGATAGGGTTGACCCTTAAGGGGAGGCAGAGTACACAAGCCAGGCTTCTTGCTTCACTGCAGCGGTAGTCTGGTGAGGTAGCCTGTGGCCAACAGTAGCAGCAGCTACGTGCTTGAAAGTTCCAGTGCAGAACCCAGTGAGGCATTTCTCTTCCAAGCAGTCTTCGCCTTTCCAGTGGACATACTCCCTAAGGAGTCTTCAGGGACAGGGTTCCACTAGACAGGTGTACTGTGGCCTGGGATCTGTAAAGCACCCTGTGGCTAACTCACACATTACACCAAATGTGTCTAGGAGAGAGCCTCAGTAGAATGTTTAAACATTGTGTTCCACACAATGTTTAAACAAAAAATATCTTGATAAAAATTAAGAAATGGTTTGCTTCTCTCAGAGCAAAAAGAGGCCTGTTTTCCTAGGATACTAGCATAAAACTGAGGCATGATGGTAGTGGAAGAGGTTATACTAGGCTGTCCTTGATGATAATTTGAGGATCTACAGCTGAGGGATGCACAAATAAGGTACAGTTTTGTACCTTACTGAATAAAAACCTGAGAGGATAGAAATATAGCAGCTACCAATGCTGACCAAATCAGCAATGCAACACACATTTATTTCATTGCTGACTCATTCAAAGCTTTATTAACATAGCCATAGTGACAAAAGCAGATAAAAGGGAGTCTAAACAGTACTGTAGTCACAAAAGAACCACCAACAGATAAGGCAAAAGAAAAAAGTATGCTAATAATGCAATACAAGCCGATCCACATGAACTGTGATGTATGTATGTATGTATGTATGTATGTATGTATGTATGTATGTATCAGATATTATTTCCAATAACAGCATAAAGCAAAGCAGGTGCATTTTTTGAGAAGCAGATTGAAATGCAATGAACAGTCTTACCACAACTTTCCACTGCAGCTTTGTTAAAAATAAAGTTTGATGGATATCACAGCAGAAAAAAAAAAATAAACACATCAGAGACATTAAACACGGAATACTGCCAAAAACAGGACATCAAGCTATAGCGCCATTATTTTTCAGATCGGCAACTTACCATTATTAAAAAGGTTTTAAAAGTGTTCTTTAGTTATAACCCTCATTTTCCACAAATAGTAAAGCCTTAGAGCAGTTACAGTGGGACTGAAGGTTTTGACATTATTTTTTTTTATTTTTTTATATGCAGGGTAGGCAATCTCGGCATCCCATCTGTTGCGAAACTACAAGTCTCATGAGGCATTGTATGG